CAGCCCACTGAGGACACTGGTCAATGGACCAGTATGGTCAAGACTGGACATAACATGTACATATAAACGGTGGTGCTCAGATCTTTAACAGATGGACAAACTTATTATTACAGATTTTTAAGGACAAGTTCAGGTAATGTTTTTAAGTGACAAACAGTTTTAATTTACTGACATTTTATAGTACAAATTCACATGTATTTCCTGATTTGAGATTTATGGCAGGAACAAACTTGTGTATCACTGATTTTACAGAATTATTTGAGGTGATATTTTAGGACATAAACTGCTGTTTTACAGTGAGATTTTTACAATGGGTTACAGATTTTGTTAGTGACTTATAAATCTTCAACATGTAAATGTGATTCAGGCTATAATTTTACATCTAATGATAGGATACATTTACCAGCAAATAGTTTTGCAGGACAGAAAACATTTTAAATTTCCTGTCATATTTTTCTGAATTACTGGCGTCAGAGTGACATGTTATTGTCTACATGAGATAATTGGTGTATTCCCACTAGATAGGCTATTTATACATTCCATTGTTTACTTTTAAACCAAAACAAAAAAATTGTGCAAGTGCACAAAACTATTATATAACTTTAATACTGAACCAACAGTCATTTGTCAGCAGGACGTAGAGTTATTGTTACAGGATGGCTATCATAAACAGTGCACAAAAGTTGTAACAGTCGGAGAGCAGGCAAAATTTCATATCTTTTGAATTCCTTTATAGCTTAATTTATGATATATTTTTTGATAACTTTAAACTTATATTTTTATAATTTTTCATTATGATTTAGGAATAACCGAATGACAAAAATATAGGAAAAATTAATTCATCATTATGTATGAGGAAACATGAAGCAGTTTTAAGGAAATAGGAAGGTGAATGTTTCTGTTCGTGTTAGTATTTGTCTGAGCCGTGATACTCTTAGCTAGGGAGCAGGCTGTGCTACAGTTGTGGACGCCAACATGAGTGTTCTGAGCTACACAGGTGTAGTATTGTGTTATCTGTAATATTCACATGTTATGTCAACATTTAACTGCTTAGATCAATTCAAAAAGAAATTCACAGGACAAAGATGGTTTAGTATTTTTGTGAGGATATATCTGTCACTGTAGACATTGTTACCGGACTAGTATTATGTGTATTTACCAGTGATCGAATCGGTTCACAAGAGCTCGCCAGGTGTGCATTTCTACCTGTACGACACCGCCTTTGTAATTCTTGCGTGTATGGCAATCACAGCTTGCAGTATTGCTTCGGGTTGTCAATTGATTGCTAGCCATTGAGGAACAGATTCTATATCTACCGGTCTGAGATTTTGTAAGAATTCCTACTGATGTCGTACTCCTCCCTAATTTAAAGTAAACTTTGTAGCATTTGTATTAAACGAAAATATTTGGAAGCCCTCAATCTATATATCTATATTTTCATTTAAGTCTGAATTCAAATGGTCATAAATGGGTAATGCTCTTTATTTGTTAAACTGTAATAAGTTCTGTTTTAGATAAACTCTGTTCAGATAAGATTAGATCAACTCCCATTAGTTCTGTTCTAGATAAACTCTGTTCAGATAAGATCAGATCAACTCCCATTAGTTCTGTTTTAGATAAACTGTAATAGACTTATATAAACTCTAATATGTTCTATATTACACTCTTATGAGTTCTTTACTTAACAAACTAATAGCTTCTATATACTTAGATTAACCCGTATAGGATCTGTGTTAGATCAACTCTAATAAGTTCTGTTTAAGAAAAACTCTAATAAGCTCTGTGTTGGATAAACTCTAATAAGCTCTGTGTTGGATAAACTCTAATAAGCTCTGTGTTAAATCAACTCTAATAAGTTCTGTTGAAGAAAAACTCTCTCAAGCTCAGATAAGATAAACTTTAATAAACTTATAAAAACTGTTATAAGTTATATAGTAAACTTTAATAAACTCTGTATTAGATAATTAAACTCTAAAACCTTGTGTTAGAAAAAGTCTAATAAGCTCTGTGTTAGATAAAGTCTAATAAGCTCTGTGTCAGATAAAGTCTAATAAGCTTTGTGTTGAATAAACTCTTAAAACGTATGTGTTAGATAAGCTCTGTGTTAGATAAGCTCTAATAAGCTCTGTGTCACATAAAGTTAAATAAACTTTGTGTTAGATAAAGAATAATAAGCTCTGTGTTAGATAAAGTCAAATAAGTTCTGTGTTAGATAAAGTCTAATAAGCTCTGTGTTAGATAAAGTCTAACAAGCTCTTTGTTAGATAAAGTTAAATAAACTTTGTGTGAGATAAACTTTAATAAGTTCTGTGTTAGATAAAGTCTAATAAGTTCTGTGTTAGATAAAGTCTAATAAGCTCTGTGTTAGATAAAGTCTAATAAGCTCTGTGTTAGATAAAGTCTAATAAGCTCTGTGTTAGATAAAGTCTAATAAGCTCTGTGTTAGATAAAGTTAAATAAACTCTGTGTTAGATAAGCTCTAATAAGTTCTGTGTTAGATAAAGTCTAATAAGCTCTTTGTTAGACAAAGTTTAATAAACTTTGTGTTAGATCAACTCTAAAAACTTATGTGTTAGATAAAGTCTAATAAGCTCTGTGTCAGAAAAAGTCTAATAAGCTCTGTGTTAGATAAAGTCTAATAAGCTCTGTGTCAGATAAAGTCTAATAAGCTTTGTGTTAGATAAACTCTAAAAACTTATGTGTTAGATAAGCTCTAATAAGCTCTGTGTAAGATAAACTCTAAAAACTTCTGTCAATACACTTTGTGTTAGATAAAGTCTGATAAGCTCTGTGTTAGATAAAATTTAATAAGCTCTGTGTCAGATAAAGTCTAATAAGCTTTGTGTTAGATAAGCTCTAATAAACTCTGTGTTAGATAATCTCTAATAAGTTCTGTGTTAGATAAAGTCTAATAAACTCTGTGTTAGATAAGCGCTAATAAGTTCTGTGTTAGATAAGCTTTAATAAGCTCTGTGTTAGATAAGCTCTAATAAGTTCTGTGTTAGATAAAGTCTAATAAGCTCTGTGTTAGATAAAGTCTAATAAGCTCTGTGTTAGATAAAGTCTAATAAGCTCTGTGTTAGATAAAGTCTAATAAGCTCTGTGTTAGATAAAGTCTAATAAGCTCTGTGTTAGATAAAGTCTAATAAGCTCTGTGTTAGATAAAGTCTAATAAGCTCTGTGTTAGATAAAGTCTAATAAGCTCTGTGTTAGATAAAGTCTAATAAGCTCTGTGTTAGATAAAGTCTAATAAGCTCTGTGTTAGATAAAGTCTAATAAGCTCTGTGTTAGATAAAGTCTAATAAGTTCTGTGTTAGATAAAGTTAAATAAACTCTGTGTTAGATAAGCTCTAATAAGTTCTGTGTTAGATAAAGTCTAATAAGCTCTTTGTTAGACAAAGTTTAATAAACTTTGTGTTAGATCAACTCTAAAAACTTATGTGTTAGATAAAGTCTAATAAGCTCTGTGTCAGAAAAAGTCTAATAAGCTCTGTGTTAGATAAAGTCTAATAAGCTCTGTGTCAGATAAAGTCTAATAAGCTTTGTGTTAGATAAACTCTAAAAACTTATGTGTTAGATAAGCTCTAATAAGCTCTGTGTAAGATAAACTCTAAAAACTTCTGTCAATACACTTTGTGTTAGATAAAGTCTGATAAGCTCTGTGTTAGATAAAATTTAATAAGCTCTGTGTCAGATAAAGTCTAATAAGCTTTGTGTTAGATAAGCTCTAATAAACTCTGTGTTAGATAATCTCTAATAAGTTCTGTGTTAGATAAAGTCTAATAAACTCTGTGTTAGATAAGCGCTAATAAGTTCTGTGTTAGATAAGCTTTAATAAGCTCTGTGTTAGATAAGCTCTAATAAGTTCTGTGTTAGATAAAGTCTAATAAGCTCTGTGTTAGATAAAGTCTAATAAGCTCTGTGTTAGATTAAGTCTAATAAGCTCTGTGTTAGCTGTGTATGACAGACAAGGTCCTCCGATGTTCCTGGTGTTACGTGGTGTACTGGGATTATAAAACAGTAATATAATCCTTGTTCACAAGTCTGAGGGAATGATAAGCCAAGCATATTCCTTATTTATCCATGAGAAGCTGACATTTATATACTGATGTCATAAATCAGCTGGAATCATTCTTTATTTCATTGATTTTGCAAAGGTAATGACTTCACAATATTTGCAAAGAAACTCAGTGCAGTGCCTGATAAGCTGGCCTATAAAACTGACATGTTCCGGGGTTAGATGCCTGCTCTGGGGAGAGCTTTCTCCATTTCCTATGTTGTCACAATAAAAAATGAAAAAAAATGTTGTATTATCATGTTCTTGTACCAGAGAAGATGTATAGAAATCAAAGTTCTGATTTATTTCAAAATCACATCCTTCTCTTCTGAACAATTATCTAATTATCTTCATGTTTGTTCTTATATTTCACCAAAGAAATGCAGTGTTTATTACCAATTATAACCAATATGTACATTGTGTTTTGTTGGTCGTGGTTATGATGGGTGTGACTGTTTGTGATTACTTCCTGTAATTATATATGTTTAGAAATATCATCCCAGAGATCTGGACACAATCTGTGACATCTGTGTCAAAATAATCGTATCAAAAGGTGATGATGACTTATCTAACGGGGGATAGACCTAGATTTAACATGACATAAACAGTCCATGTTAGATAATGATGATGACTTATCTAACGGGGGATAGACCTAGATTTAACATTTTACAGTAGCTGTATACAGACTTTTTTTTGTAGAGTTATTTTAAAATCATTTCAAGGCAAGGTGAATTTAAATAATTTAATTCTGTCTGTAGTTACTTTATTACAATCCATTTTGTGTACTTTTTGTTATTAGCCAAGTTGTGTATTTCTCTGTCACAATGGCTGCTTTAGCTGTATAGGCTATAATCCGACGGTACATATACTAACTATATGTCATGTTGCCGATATATCTTCCTCACTCATGTTGCATGAATTATAATCCTTTATATCTTTTCAGCTTGTGTGATTGGAGGACCTTGTTAGTGATGTCACCTGTCCTGACCAATCAGCAGTGACAATATGATCCTTAGCTTCGTACTGGTGAGCGCCGCCCTGGTGGTCGTCTCTGGTCAGGAAGCAGACTTCAAATACCTTCTTCAAGAGGAAAAACCAAATGGAAGCGTTGTTGCAAACATTGCGTCAGATGTTCGTCCTTTGATCAATGTAACGGACAGTGTGTTCAGTAAGCTACGGTATCAACTCCTAACCGAGGGCAATGTGAATGCCAAATTGTTCTCCCTGAAGGAGCAAAGTGGTCGTTTGGAGGCTACCAAGATTGACCGCGAGAAAGTCTGTCAGGACTTGGATGTCTGTGTCCTTCAGTTGTCTCTTGCCATCTTTAAGGACGACCCTGACTTCCCTAACAACCCAGATCTCATCAAATTACTCCTTATTGATGTTACAGTCCAAGACATCAACGATCACCCCCCGCTCTTCTCCCCTTCGGAGATGGTTGTATCCGTTTCAGAAACTGTTAGCATCGGTTACGTGATACCGATTGACGCAGCTACAGACGAGGACAGTGGAGCTAACAACTCCGTACAAACGTACGAGTTTGTCACTGTCCAGGATGAATTTCGCTTAAAATATAATACTGACCAAGCTACTTTAGAAATAGAGGTGAATAAACGTTTGAATTATGAGGCGGACAAATTTTACCAGTTAGAGATTGTGGCTAAAGATGGTGGGTCTCCCCAAAGGAGTGGCAGTGTGACAATTCATGTTAATGTGCTAGACGAGAATGACAATTCACCGGAGTTCACAAAGCCTGAGTACAAGGCTGTCACAGAGGAGAACCGAGGCAATGGAGAAGTAATTGTACAGGTAACGGCCAGAGACTTGGACTCGGGTGATAAGGGGAATGTATCCTACAGGTTCAACCCCAGCTCTGTACCTAGCGTGTTTGGAATAAATGTCACCTCAGGGGAGATATACGTCACTGGACAGATAGATTTTGAGTCAGAGCAGACTTTTTCTTTTTTTGTCCAAGCTGTTGATGGTGGAGTCCAGCCTCAGTCGTCATCTGCCTTAGTGGTCATTACAGTGACCGATATCAATGACAATGCACCACAAGTCAACATCAACCTGCCCCCTGGTGGTGACGTGATTTCTGAGGCTGCAGAACCAGGACGTTATATCGCCAACGTGGCCGTGTCGGACCCAGACAGTGGAGCATTGGGTAACGTCATCTGTCAGTTACACAGTGATTATTTCAAGATGGAGACACTATACATCAACATGTACAAGGTGACACTAAAACAGAAGTTGAACCGAGAGGGCCTGGCCACACATAACATCAGTGTCGTCTGTGCTGATGGGGGCACACCTAGCCTCGTCACTACCACCAGTTTCCTCATCCATGTTGGTGACGTCAATGATAATCCTCCAACCTTCACACACTCACGATACAATGTATCAATCTACGAAAATAATCAAATAGGAGCACCTGTCACCATAGTAACGGCCTCAGATAGAGATGAGGGAGAGAATGGCAGAGTGACCTATAGTCTATCTGGGAATGAAGATGACTTTTTCTCCATTAATTCAGATTCTGGAGTGGTCAGTACTAATGTTGTGTTTGACAGAGAGATACACTCCGAGCTGCTGTTTCAGGTAGTGGCGAGGGACAGTAATGTTATCACACAGTATAGCTCTACAGCAACAGTGGTGGTGACAATCCTCGACATGAACGACAACCAACCGTCTTTCTCACAGGAAGTGTACTCGTTTACGGTGCCAGAGAACCAGGCTCCGGGTACTGTGATTGGTCGGTTGTATGCCTATGATAAGGACATTGGTGCCAATGGTAACATCTACTTCCCTCCGACTCACCCGTACACTAGTATCTTTGAGATCATTCAAAGCACTGGTCAGATCCAGACAAAAGTTGTGCTTGACCGGGAGACTCAGGGCATGTATGACTTCCACGTGACTGCAGAGGACAATGGTCAGCCACCTCTACAGACGACCACAAACGTGGTGATAGTGGTCCAGGATGTTAATGACAACGTACCCAATGTCACCTTTCCCACCGATGTCAACAACACTGTCACCATAACACCAAGCAAGACCCAGGGCACACTGGTAGCTAAGGTAATGGCGACCGACCCAGACCTGGGTGTGAATTCCGTGCTTTCTTATGTGGTTATGAAAGGTGCAAGTAGTCTGTTTAATGTCAACAACAGGACTGGTGTGGTCAGTCTGGGGCAGGACCTCAAGGAGGACCATTTGGGGACCTACACTATACTATTGGCCATCCAGGACTCAGGCACCCCCAGTCAGACAACCTGGTCCAACCTTGTGATCATCGTTAGCAACCCTGATGCCAACAAGAACGTCATCATCGTCATAGCCGTGATATCTGTTACCGTCACCCTGTCTCTGAGTATGATCATCATGATCTGTCTCATACGACGTCAGGATGGCAAAAAGTTCGACAAGGGTGATGGAAAATTGTCAGACCATAAGAAGAAGTTTGTCCTGGACTGGCTTCGTTGTCTGTCAACGTCCACTAGGGACGTCCACAAACTTGGCAACGATAAGACAGAGGCACAGCTCCACCGACCCACCGATCTGAAACCTATCTGTTCCAACGACAGCACAGCATCAGAGGGCAGCCAAGACTGTAAGGTAAGGTCAAAGCATCTCAAGGTCATAGTGACCAAGGTCATAACAGCAGGGATCTATACAAGATATTCCCTAAGGCAGATACTAGTTGGTGAACTGACACTGTTCTGTCCTTAAGTTAGACACATTTTAAACACTTTTATGTAAAAATCATCACTTGTCAATAGCATAGAAATCATTACAGAGTTATAGTATCTGAAATTTCAAATCAGAATCAAATTTTTTCTACGATTATAAATATCCTTTCTATATGTCAGAAGGAAAATGATAACCTTAGAGTTAATAAATGATCTCTTCACTGGTTACTTTAGTAGGAGACAATATCGTGGGGTTTTGATGAGGAAGTTTCACAAGAGTTGGTTATAAATCTACCTATTACCTGGTACACCATTTTGACCAACATATCTGTTGACGTTTTAGTTCCATGTAATATCCTTATTATCACTTGAAATATAAATTTCTCAAAGAGTGAAGTTTATGTAAAATCATACTGTCATATTATATATCTTCCTCAGTTTAATTTTGTTTTTGTACCAATGCCTTTGTGAAAGGTCCTAAAGACCTATTTTTCACATTAAGGAGACATTAACTCTATCTGTATGCAACTGTGTCCTGTCACTTATCTACAAAAACATTGACAGACTTTTTTCCCCTGAGAAATTTAAAACTTGTCCATTTGGAGTGACATATGCTATCAGTACTTGTTTGAAGGTCTGACATGTTATAGGTGGTACAGGACCTGGGGAGGTACACACGGTAATACACACACACACAAACCCACACGGTAATACATCCGTAATACATCGTATATATCTGATAGAAAGGTGTAGATAGAGATGTTACAAAATCAGTGAAGCATTGATGACACTTAGATCGAGGTATAGATAATGATCACGAGTCCTCAGGAAATGTCTCCTCACCGCAACTTGTTGTCATACCTACCGGGATATGCAAGCATTATAAAATTAGTTCAACAAATGTCATATGAAATCACGCTCTATAGTAGATTTAAAGTTTTGACCAACTCATTATAAGCCATATTCTTCTAACACGAATTTGATTAAGCTGTTTCTAATCATAAACTTCATTAAGTTTCTCAATAAAAAACTTAATTAAGCTGTCTCTAAACATAAATTCAATTAAGCTATATCTAAGGCTAAACTTAATGGGGTGTTTCTAAATATAAACTGAATTAAGTCATCTTAAACATAAACCTTATTCAGCTGTCTCTAAATAATAATTTAATTAAGCTGTCTCTAAACATAAATATAATTAAGGTGTTTCTAAATAAAAACTTAATTAAGCTGTATCTAAGGCTAAACTTAATGGGGGTGTTTCTAAATATAAACTGAATTAAGTAATCTGAAACATAAACTTTATTCAGCTGTCTCTAAATAATAATTTAATTAAGCTGTCTCTAAACATAAATATAATTAAGCTGTTTCTAAATAAAAACTTAATGAAGCTGTCTCTAAACATAAATATAATTAAGCTGTATCTAAACATAAACATAATTAAGCTGTTTCTAAACATAAAAATAATTAAGCTGTATCTAAGGCTAAACTTAATGGGGGTGTTTCTAAATATAAACTGAATTAAGTCATCTTAAACATAAACCTTATTCAGCTGTCTCTAAACACAAAATACATTTTCTGTTTCCAAACATCAACCTGTTTAAAGCTATCACAAACTTTATTAAATTTCTTCAAACACAAAATATATTGTCTCCAAACACAGATTAAATTGAGATTTTTCCAAATACAAATTGACTTTATATTAAATAATTTAATATATGTGCAGACAACGGCCACATCCTGGCCCTTATATTAGGGACCTGTACATTAGAGTGCACATCCTGGCCCTTAGGGACCTGTACATTAGAGTGCACATCCTGGACCTATAGAAGCTGTGCATTAAACATTGTACTGCTTTACTTCCAGGTCATTCATCTGCACATATTTTAGAAAAGAAAAAGCTTTCAACTGTCAAAGTATCTATCTAACAGGATAATTATGCTCATTAAAAAAAATATTTAGGAGAGAGTGTACTTTTGCGGTGAAGTTAACACAATGATTTATGATAATTTTTACAGGTGGCTTCCCACTCATTTTGTGCAATTTTTGAACATTATTGACAGCCATTTTGTGTTGTAATGTATTGGAAATGAACAAAATAAATGCAAACAGTATGAAGTAATGTCATTCAACATTGTATTTTAAAACACTTAAATACCCATCCAACAGGCTGTCAACTAGCCAGCAGCACAGGAGTTATTTGTTTGACATAACATATAGGTCTACTTTCAAATTCAGGGGTTCTCAGGTTTTACCTTTACCTGATGTATACATTAATAATATACATCTGAAACTGTTACTTTTACCTCATCCATTGAGCCATGAAAATAGCATGACCATGGTTTGACTACCCACTGTAACTATTGTAATTATTTTGCACTATTTTAGCACTTCAGAAATTCTTTTCTTGTTGTTTTTTTCAAGAAGTTAAAGAACTTTTTTTATACTGGAACATTACTCTAATGAACAATTTTTAAAGTTGCGAAATATTGCTGTTAACCTGTTTATCAATTCTCTTTAATTTCCCAATGACCTGTTAAGGACATTCTCATACAAAATCTTATCCTTCATATTTACGTCTATTACACATAAAACCTACAATCTTGAGCATGGAAGATATTTTGTCCAGCGCTCAAAACAATTTGTCAAGCTCTCAATATCTTTAAAGAAGAACAAATAAATATGTGTTTAAAACATACAGCCGTAGTTTCGAGAATAGAAAGCAATTTTCCTTAAAGACCAAAGACAAGATTTTTAGTGAGGATTGTAGGTGGTCAGTTTGTAGAGAGATGTGATCTCCCCCAGGAATCTTGTATATCATCTGATACCCGTTATTATATCTCCTGGAATTTATCTCCGTCAACAAACAATAAAGGGACTAGTTTTAAAGTCAGAGTTTTCCCTATTTTGTCAGTTTGTTGTCTAGTGTGATAACTATAGGGGACTTTCTGGCTATACTTTTTGGTGTTTTGTGGAGGTTGAACGGGTCCATGATAGGACCACGGGTCCATGATAGGACCACGGACCGCGGAGGGGTTGATGACCAGTGGCTGGACAATTCTGTTTATACAGTAGCTAGATTATCTGTCTATATCAAACAGGAGGTTGGATATTGTTACAGAGTTAGGTGTGAGCTATAATAATATAGTAAAATCAAACACAGATACACAGATTAAAGATTGTATTTTGTTTCAATGAAAATAGTTTACGGGAAATCTGACATGTTTATAGTTGTGTTATATAGAAGATTTTGTTTTTAACACATGTATCACTTTTATAATAATTACAATAAAACTTACAGCAACCAATCATGTCCAAAGAAATAACACCTCAGAACTGTATATTTTTCCATGAAATTTAAGATTTTATTTTCCTTTGTACTAAAAAATTAAAATAATATATAGGTCAAGTAACTTATAAAAGACAACTCATTTACTGTTTCAAAAATTAGTGTCTAACTTCAAATCTGACAATCTATGTTTTGTTGATGATTCGAAATTACAAAACTTGTTCTAACTCGATCGTTGATTGTCGATTGACCAAAACACTTTTAGGTTTTTAACTTAAGTGTTGGATTAAGTCTACAGAGATTGTTGTTTTAGGATATTATGCTGACTAAAAGACCCTGACCAGTGGGTGCTAATATAAATGGTTTTTGACCAGTGTTTGGTTGAGCAGTCTATGGGGTCTTAAAAACGGATATTAGGTGACCCTTCAGACTGCTCAGTTGAACAGAGAGATAAAAATATTTTTTAAACACCAAAACAAATGTTTGAACATGAGATTTCTTTTTTTTCCTTTCTTGATAAACTTGACACAACAAACCTATAGTCTATAATAGACAGGTAAGCTTTGTTCTTGTAACAGGTGAAATGAATGATGACAAGTGCTAATCTCAGAAGGGCACATTTGGGTATCGGTTTATTTTAGCTCTAATAATTCTATCAGTGTGTCTCTTGTTCATACCGTTAAGACTGTATACACCAGAGACTGATCTGCTGACCCGTAAATGTCCATTATTGGGGAGAAACCCATCAGAACCTCGCTTAGATTGTACTTGATAACATTGTATGGATTTCGATTTTAAAACGGCTGAGTTTTGTTTTTAAACGGCTTTCTGTAATTGGTGGTATTGAATTTGACAATACCTGAGGAGTACAAGACCTTCAAACAAGTACTCTACAATTTATTACCGGATGTAAAGGACTTTAATATCATCTGTAAACATCGCCAATGTGTACCTAATAAATCTCCACTGAGATGGCTAATTGTGGCCTGGCTGTGTAGGGGATTAGGTAGGCTTTAGAGGACTGGGGGCAGTCTGCTGTCTCGGACCCTCCTCTGTAGGGGGGACAGGATACTTGTTGCGGTTTCAAAAGCTCTCTGATAGTACCCAGTAGATTTTTTTTAACACTGTGACAGGGCACTGTTGTTTGTGCATCATAGAACCACAATGGCAGCAGTGAGCTGTTGTTGTATTCTTCAACAAGTCTGTTGACCTTGATTGGTCCATGCTGTCCAGCTGGGTACCAGCACGCTGGGAAGTGGTGATCCTGAGAAATCCTACCAGGGCTTTATTTCCAGGGGCTAGGACTCTCAGTCATATTACACAACAGAAACTGGGAACAGTTCAGCTCTAAGGGTTACTATATTGGCTCTATGGTTACTAGTGGCTCTATGGTTACTAGTGGCTCTATGGTTCTCTATGGTTACTAGTGGCTCTATGGTTCTCTATGATTACTAGTGGCTCTATGGTTCTATATGGGTTACTGGTAGCTCTATGGTTATTAGTGGCTCTATGGTTCTCTATGGGTTACTGGTTGCTCTATGGTTACTAGTGGCTCTATGGTTCTCTATGGTTACTAGCGGCTCTATGGTTCTCTATGGGTTACTGGTTGCTCTATGGTTACTAGTGGCTCTATGGTTACTAGTTGCTCTATGGTTCTCTATGTTTACTAGTGGCTCTATGGTTCTATATGGGTTACTGGTAGCTCTATGGTTATTAGTGGCTCTATGGTTCTCTATGGGTTACTGGTTGCTCTATGGTTACTAGTGGCTCTATGGTTCTATATGGGTTACTGGTAGCTCTATGGTTATTAGTGGCTCTATGGTTCTCTATGGGTTACTGGTTGCTCTATGGTTACTAGTGGCTCTATGGTTTTCTATGGTTACTAGTGGCTCTATGGTTCTATATGGGTTACTGGTAGCTCTATGGTTACTAGCGGCTCTATGGTTCTCTATGGGTTACTGGTTGCTCTATGGTTACTAGTGGCTCTATGGTTCTTTTTGGGTAACTGGTAGCTCTATGGTTACTAGTGGCTCTATGGTACTCTATGGGTTACTGGTAGCTCTATGGTTACTAGTGGCTCTATGGTTACTAGTGGCTCTATGGGTCACTATAGGCTGGACTTAAGTTCTACGGGTCACTAGACTTGTGAAATCAGGGGGAAAAAACAACATTAGAATTTAGATAAAGCTGTTCTTTTGCGTATTACAGTACCTTACATGTGGACCAAGAGCTCTGACAACCATGAGCTTTGAAATTTCCTATAAAAGCGGAAGATTTGATGATTCAAATGACAGGTCAGGACTATGAAATATTGTTGGACTGTAAATCAGCTGTTTGTTAGTACAAGTTTCTCACTCCGATTTTGTATTTTAAGGCTTCTCTGTCCATATACTTATTGTAATTATGTAATTAAATGATTTCTTATATAACCACTCTTGATGGAAACTGTCACCTCTAGAAACGTGTGGTAAATAATCAAAAGATCTTGGTCGTGATAGGTGTATCTAAGGGACTCCTACTGGTAGGTTTAGACGTCAAGGTAGAGCGATTCGTAATTACCTGTGTTTTTTTTTGCATTTTTAAATATTCCTTTTATGCTCAGCAGAGTAACAAGAAGTTAACTTTTTTTCCTCACAATTTTATAAGTTAATTCTTGTAGTGAACAGATATAACACAAAGAGAATGGTTTTATTCCCTATTGTGTAACTTTCTGACAAAGTAACACCTGAGTAATGGTATACGGCCAATCTCCATAACGCAATACCAACGCATCAGAATCAAATTTATTTTCGTATCTTTAATGCAGCATTTATGGCTCGGAATGGTACAATGCATTTATTATATATGCCTGAACGGCCAATGTTTACGCCACATTAAGTTTGTGGACAGGCGGTGTGTGTGCTGTCTTGGATTGTGGACAGCTATGTTTGTACCATGTGAGATGCTCCATAGCTTTAATCCCCAATCAATATATTTTCAGAATGAATCCCAGGAGAATATCGGGCGTACAGATGAGGATGAGGGGTTCGTAGAGACACCTGGTGGCACCCTGTCACATGACAGTGGTCGCGGTGACAGTGTCCGCACACGTCATGACAGCTCGATGAGTCAGCAGGAACTGATGACAAGTCAAGGTCAGTCTCAAGGTCAATAGTTTTTGAACGGTTTATGACTACAGTTTGGTAATTGGTTGAAAAAGAATTTTGTGCATTATCTGTTGACCTTCCTTGAAAGTAATACCTTAGTATCATAAGAACAAATAAAAGTTGTGAAACGGATTGTCAGACATCTTTGTACATGTAACAGTGCTTCACAAAACAGGTTTTGTAACAATTTTTACCTGAATCAAAATATATCATATAAATATGTTACAATCAGTGTGGTGTGGCATTATTAAATTTCTAAGTTTTCAAAGCTATTTTGTTAATAATTCCATTCATTATGTAATTTTTGTTTACTGCTGTTTCAGATTCCAGAATGTTTTACTCGTTGCCACGGTGCCAGACAGGAAGTAAGGATGCTGTGAGTGACACACGGTTCTCCACAGCTACGTCAGACGGTGTTTCGATACCGGAGAGCTGGCAGCACAGACCTGTACCTCCTCGGCCCAGTTACAACAGAAATATCAGTCTGGATGAACAAATGTTACGAGACAGGCAAAAAGCCCAAACTATGTCCAGTTTTCGTGAAGATGCTAGATTTTCTTCAACAGACTCGTCTATTGTTCCTGTGAGTAGGAACTATAAACAGATTAACAAAATAGGGTTAGGACTGTCCTACGATAGTCATACATTACACAGACATATACCGGGACAGTATCAACGACCTTCAAACAGCACCTCTACAAAACTGGCTCAGAAGCGAACCCTCTCCCCAATAAGTGCGACCCCTGAGCCAAGTGAGGGTGGCTTCTCTAGCTCCAACTCCTCCTTCACGCCCCACCCCCGGTCTCCATCACATCAGCCATACTCTGGAGTCCACTTCTTTAAGTCTGGTTCCCAGTCCAGCGGTCAGTCACTCAGTAGTGTCCGACAAGACATTGTACAGCTGGAAAGTGATATAGAGAGTCGACTCAACAGAGAGGACTGTATAGTGTAACAGTGGTTAGTCTCTCTCTGTGGTCAAACCATAATCTCTGGACCTTGGTCAAACAATATTTATGATATTTTTTAGACCAAATATTAAGGAAAATAAGCTTAAAAATCAAATGTTTTTTACGAAATTATTAAATTTTGGTCATTATATTCAAAATAATGGTCTTTTTCTTGTTGTTTATATTGACCCTGTGCCAGGTCTGCTTTATTACAGAGAGTGATGCCATGACCTTTAGGGGTCACGTGCCAATAGGGACCAATTGATGATCTCATGTGTAAGATGTAATCCAAAAGTGCCAAATATTAAAAATGTCTATTTTAAGTGTGATTGTGTTTGTATGAACTGAGAATGTTGTGTGAAAAAAATACTTAATCTGTTAATTAGCCCCGAGAATCTTGGCTTGATGGGGTGACAGAATTGAGGCAGAGCATGAGGTTATGGAAGGTTAAATACGGTATGACTGTTGATAGAGTTTTTGGAAGGTTAAATACGGTATGACTGTTGATAGAGTTTTTTATACTAGATACTGTTTTAGCAGCTAGCTACTGCCAAGTCTGTTGTATGTATTGTGTTTTTGATACTATCAAAGTTTACTTAATGTAGAAAATATTGATTCCAAATTTGTCACAGTCTAGCATTTTCATTTGAATGGAAATTTTTCATGAATAATTTATTGCTTTGATGTTGAACTCATAGTTTTGCATACACAAAATTGTGTCGTATTGCTACAAAAGTAGAGTATTTTCTGGAGTTAGTTCCATGAGCGTGTTAGGTGTGATGGGTATTATTGAATTTATTAGCATGAGAAATACTAGAGAAATCTCCATTATCACTGATATGCTGGTCGTTTTCTGATTCTCAAGAAAAAACGTGCATGGAAACTGTTGAATGTCTCAATATACTTTTAAAAGTCAATATATCTAATATATATTGATATGTTGATGAATTGATTTAATTTTAGTTTTTTTAATTCTACAGGTAAGGTTTTCAGCCAACAGAGATAAACAATGTGTAAAGGAGAGAAGAATAAGCAAATTAAAAAAGAAAAACCTATTAATATGTTTATGAAAATAAATGTAAATGAGCGTACAATGTGTTTGATTATATGTTTATTGATACAAATATTTATTAAACGTACAAATTCTTGTAAAATCGTTTTGTGGGAAATGGAACAATGCAAGATGTTAAACATCACACATTTTTTGTTTTGGTGTATTTATAATACTCTGTTTATAATTTCTCAGGATTATATTTTAGCTAGTGATAACACAAAATATTGGATTTTATAAATGAATAACTCCAAAAATAAAACTCGTAACATGTCTCAAATAAGATCCTCCACAGGTTCAGTGTGTTATAAACACGTTTTTTTTCATCATCTGGAAGCCGATCACTGATATCAGAATTACAATATAACCAATATAATCAGAGGTTTACCAACACATTTCCAGGCCCAAATCACATGACATTTTACTATCAATTCCAACTAATTATTGTCCCTGCATTTATTGTAAATCTAAACCAGTTCAGATAAGAGTTGTGCAAGTCCTGAAGTGATAGTTATTACTTTTCTGTAGAAAAGGTATTATCTATTTTACAAAACAAAACCTGTTATATTTCAACTAGGAACTACTTTTCTGATTGGTTAAATCTGATGAGTTACTAAGAACTGCTTTTCTTATTGGTTGAATCTGTGCTGTGTCTGATGAGTCTGCCCTAGTGACCAGTCGTAGAGATAGCTGGTACCTGCGACAAGGTCTAGTGTATAGCATTAAACACAGGAAATTCCTATATCAATGTTTTTATCCTACTTTAAAAGTTACAATGTTGACACCTAGTGATAAAGTTTCAAATATTTTGTTATATTTGAGATATTCTAGAAATAAAAGGAGAGAATACATTTTTAATGTGTTGTGTTTTAATGATTTTATCCAAATACCATCAATGCAATGATCTGACTGTAACAACTGGAAAAGCAGGTGGTCACTCTAGAAAGGTGATAACTATAGACAGGTGATCACTACAGACAGGAAGTTGGTATCAACACTTGGTCACTATTGCCAGAAAATCATGATAGATAGGTGATCACTAGAGATGGATTTAATATGGACTGGTGGTCACTATAGACAAGGAATCGATATAGACAGGTGGTCACAATTAACAATGAGTCGGTATGGACAGGTGATGATTTTAGACAGTTTGCATCAACAGGTGGTCACTGCAGACAGGGAACCAATAAGGACAGGTGAACACTATATACAGGGAATCAATGTGGAGAGTTGACCACTATATACATGGAATCTATATGGACAGGTGATCAATGTAGGCAGGGAATCAATATGGACTGGTGATCACTAAAGACAGTCAGTATGGAGAGGTGGTCACTATAAACAGTCAGAATAGACAGGTGATGACTACAGACATGGGAATCGGTATGGACAGGGATCAATATCTAAATTATTACCATAGACAAAGAGTCGGTATGGATAGGTGATCACTATAGACAAGGAATCAGTAAGGACAGGTGATAACAATATACAGGAAGTCAGTATGGACAGATGATCACTAGACAAAGAGTTAATATGGATAGTTGATCACTATAGACAAAGAGTCAGTATGGACAGGTGCTCACTAGACAGATGTCCATTTGGACAGGTGATCACCAGATAGAGTCAGTATGGACAGGTGATTACTTGACAAGGAGTCAGTATGGACATGTGATCACCAGACATGGAGTCAGTTAGACAGATGATCACCATATACAGGGAGTCAGTATGGACAGGTGGTCACTATAGACAGGTAATCAATGTGGCAAGTTGATCGCTATATACAGGTAATATATATGAACAGGTGATCAAAGTAGGCAGGGAATCAATATGGACAGGTGATCACTAAAGACAGTCAGTATGGAGAGGTGGTCAATACAAACAGGGTCAGTATATACAGGTGATGACTATAGACAGGGATTGAGTATGGACAGGTGGTCACTATGGGCAAGGAATCAATATCTAAATTATTACCATAGACAAAGAGTCAGTATGGATAGGTGATCACTATAGACAGATTTAATATTGAATGGTGAACACTATAGCCAAGGAATCGATATAGACAGGTGGTCATCATTAACAATGAGTCGATATGGACAGGTGATCCTTTTAGACAGTTTGTATCAACAGGTGGTCACTGCAGACATAATCAATAAGGACAGGTGAACACTATAGACAGGGAAAGGTGATCACCAGATAGGGAGTCGGTATGGACAGGTGATAACCATAGACAGGGAGTCAGTATGGACAGGTGGTCATTATAGACGGAATAAAGATGGACATGTGGCCACTATATATGGTGAATCGATGTGGACAGTTGATCACTATATTCATGAAGTCAGTAATGACAGGTGGTCACTAGACAATGAGTCAGTATGGACATGTGATCATTATAGACAGGGAGTCAGTATGGCCAGGTGATTACTATAGACAGGGAATCAAGATGGACATGTGATCACTATAAACAACAACTCAATATGGACAGGTGATCACTGAAATCATGAAGTCAGTATAGACAGGTTATCACCATAGACAGGGAGTCAGTATGGACAGGTGACACTATAGACAGGAAAATCAATGTGGACAGGTGATCACTAGACAGGGAGTCAGTTTTGACAGGTAATCACTATAAACAGTCAATATAGACAGGTGATCACTGAAGACATGAAGTCAGTATGAGTGGGTAATCCCTATAGAAAGGGAGTCAGTACTGACAGGTGACACTTTAGACAGTGAATCAATGTGGACAGGTGATCACTGTAGACATGGAATCAGTATAGACAGGTTATCACCAAAGACAGGGAGTCAGTATTGACAGGTGACACTATAGACAGGACATTCAATGTGGACAGGTGATCACTAAACAGGGAGTCAGTATGGACAGGTGATAACTATAAACAGTCAATATGGACAGGTGATCATTGTAAACATGGAGTCAGTATGAGCAGGTGATCACTATAGACAAGAAATCTATCAACAGGTGGTTATTACAGACAATATGGACAGGTGACTATTAAAGTCAGAGACTGTATCGAGTGGTTAGTATGGACAGGTGACTACTAAAGTCAGAGACTTATCGAGTGGTAAGTATGGACAGGTGGTGTCTATAGACAAAGAAGCTGTATACTAAACAGTCACTATAAAGGAGTGGTCATTATAAACAGGTTATCACTATACACAGGTGGTAATTATAAACAGATCACCAAGGTAGTCATTATACACAATGCATCACTTTAATCAAGTGGTTACTATAAACAAGTGGTCACTATTTACAAGTGGTCACTATAAACAAGTGGTCACTATAAATGGGTGATCACTATAAACAAGTGGTCACTATAAACAAGTGGTCACTATAAACAAGTGGTCACTATAAACAAGTGGTTACTATAAACAAGTGGTTACTATTTACAAGTGGTCACTATTTACAAGTGGTCACTATAAATGGGTGATCACTATAAATAAGAGGTCACTATAAATGGGTGATCACTATAAACAAGAGATCACTATAAACAGAGGGACACAATTAACAATTGGTCACAATTAACAAGTGTTTATTACAGGTTTGAACAAGTTGTCATTATAAAGAATTCAATGATATATTGGAAATATGAAAAATTGGTAAACAGGTTAACACTATAGATAAGTGCTAAACTGCTTTAAATATTAACTTATAATTATAATTATAATATTTACATTAAACTAATGATGGTCACTTTTAACAATAATATAGGTAACAAAGACAGGACATTTCACGCAGAGAAATACAACCTGATATGTGTCCATTATAATAATCACTTTCAAATCTTACCAACTATTTTTTATACTTAAAATGTTAAGATCTAACATTACAATGCCCACCTATTCGTTTAGGAGTGCTGAGCTCTGTGATAGTAATTCAGGGTCTGTAGGACCTCCCTAATACCCTGTGTTTCCTGGATACAGACTGGCACATGATACAAGTATCTCTTCACATTTGTTATTTTTGTTAAAAAATATATTTAAAGAGAAACGAAATATGATCAGGATTATATGTGTCTTACAGTGATTTACAACAGTTCTACAAAACGGTACATAAATAAGCTTTACCATTTCACTGTATCATGTTATGTAATTCGTGCTAATTACGAGAGTTATTTCCCTTGGATTGGTGATATACACTTTTGTCAAAGCGTCTCAGTTGGTAAAGGGAGGTAATCCATAGTGAAAATTTGACTCGGAATTTTTTAGATTCAGATTTTTTTTTGGCAACGAACTGCTAGATTATATTTTTACAATGGCCATTAATTAAACAAGCAAACAACAGATACACTTTAATTTAGTGAAATCTTTATGACAATCGTTTGAAATGCATTAAAAATAACAAACTCAAGAAACAGGAACATTATTACATGGAATAGCGATTTTATGTACCAAAATGTGAAAAGTTAGAATATATTTAGTGAAGCAAACTGGCAAGCATCACATGTACTTGAATTAAGTGAGATATTTGTGACAATCATTTAATAATAAACTTGAGAAACCTATGTATATTATTATATGAAAATAGTGGGTTTTTTTTACCTACATGTTATTTATTTATCAAATTGTGATAAAGTGAAAATATATGAAAGTGCCTGGAGAAACTCCTCAGAATGTGGGGTCTGATGTTGTCATAGCAATGAAATGAGGCTAGAGCCAAATACAGGTATATGTCAGACAGACGACCATTACAAACAGCTGTATTCTATATACAGGTTTATGTCAGACAGACGACCATTACAAACAGCTGAATTCTATATACAGGTTTATGTAAGACAGACGACCATTACAGACAGCTGAATTTTATATACATGTATATGTCACACATACGACCATTACAAACAGCTGAGTTCTATATACAGGTATATATCAGACAGACGACCATTGCAAACAGCTGTATTCTATATACAGGGTTATGTCAGACCGACGACCATTACAAACAGCGGAATTCTATATACAGGGATATGTCAGACAGACGACCAATACAAACAGCTGAATTCTATATACAGGTATATTTCAGACAGA